GTGTACTGCGCCGAGACGTCGCCCACCAAGGCACGAGGGACCAGCCCCTGATGCACGTCGCGAACTCGGCATATGACCCTCAGCGTCAGCACCTCCAGCATGCAGACGGCATGGGTGCAGCCAGCCAGGATGCCCTGGAACGAAGTGAAGGCATCGCTGATGCTGCCGTGGCCATTGAGGCGACGGGGCAGCGCATACATCTGCAGCAGCATCCATATGAGCCTGGGCGGATATCCGAGCTCGACGCCTTCCTTGAAGAGCTAGGACGGCCTGACCAGGTCAAAGGCCTTGGTCAAGTCCAGCAGCACCGAGGCCGAGAACTGGCCACGAAGGGCCGCCAGCTCCGATGCCAAGTTGTGGGAGAAGGCGCTGTCGGACGAAGTGTAGCGCGACCTGTTGCTCCACACGTGCTCGCACTGGTGGTCGGCCTCCCACTGGCGGGAGAGCCCTCGCCGCAATCGCCCCCACACGCGCAAGAAGGTGTTGACCACCGCAATCAATCTATGGCCATCGTCCGCCTTCGGGATGCGGCACATCATGGACCATAGCCGTTCAGCCGGCCAGGTGAGCAGCTGCTCGCACCTCTGGAAGTAAGCGATCAGCTGCTGCAGGGCCTCATCGGACAAGTGCCACAGAAGCCTCGGGTGGAGCCCAATCGGGCCCGTGGACGTCTTGCGCGGAAAGGTTAAAATCACCTTCCGAACCGTAGCCACGTCAACATCAGGGAGCAGAGGCCACTGCTCCGACTCCTTCGGGAGCGAGAGCGGGAGGCACTCGTGAGTGGTCCATGTGCTAGCCCAGTCGAGCATGTCTTTATTCACGAGAGAGTAGGGCTGTATCGCAGTGTACCGACACGTGCCCTGAGCAGGGAAGGCGATGACCTGGTCCATGGCCGGGACTTTGGACACACGGTGCGCAGCCGAAGCCCCGCCCTCAAATGCAGCTCTCGCCCAGGAAGTCCAAGACTTATGAGACTGCCGTTGATCTTCTCGGCGAAGCTTGGCAGCTTGAGTCCCAACGCTCTGGAACATGTCATCAAAACCAGGAGCCACCAACACCGGCAAGCCCATGGCCAGGAACGACCGCAGCTGCAGGGGGAGATGGCCCAGGACCTTGCCGCTGCGATTGACATTCATGAGGAAGGCGGCCACCTCGTGGAGGCCCTGGAGGATGGTCGAACACTGTGCCCCGTCAACTTCGCACATAACAGTGGCCATCTGTGTGCGGTTCACCAAGATGCGAAGTCGATCGCGCTCCCGCCTCAAGTGGAACATCCAGCGAAGTGCAGTCTTCCATGCCAGCGTCTCAGGGCGTGCGTAAGTGCGCTTCGCGGGCGGCCTCCACTTGAGCTGTCTCCAAACAAACCGTGGTGCACCGCCTCGACCCTGATATGCCAAGGCGGGAGGCCCCACCAAATCAAAACGATTAGTGAGCTCCACCTCCACACCCTGCACGAGCTGATCCCACGCAACAGCCAGATCTTGGGCATCCCGCGCCTCCGCGACCTGGACATGCGACCAGTCCAGAGGGAAGCGAGCACATCCTACAGGGGCCCGCTGTGGAAACTCACGAGGAAGGTCAGGGACAATCCTCCACGCAGGGACATCCTGCGCCGTCACATAAACCGAAACAGGCAAGTGCGGATACAGCGTCGAGCCCTCATCAACACTGACGTGGTCCGCCATGCGAGCCGACAAATTGGAGGAGACCACGAAGTAGTCCAGTGTGGTACCGGGCGAACTCTGGCGGCAGGTGGGGAGCTTCGGGACCAGCGGGACAGCAGCAGTGGCACGCAGCCAGGGCTGTGAAGTCATAACCTCAGCCTCATTGTTCCAGTTACCGCCGATCATCCAATCATGGCCTGCGCTGTTCAAGGCGCAGAGGGACTGCACCAAAGCCCACGCATATGCGGTATTGACAGGGCCCATCTTGTCATAGGCGTCCAAATACAGGCTGCCAGCAACAAAGCCACCAGGAACACCCCAGTGCACATGAGTGAGCAAGCATCTGCCCTTCACAATCTCAGCGTCAGCTTCGCCAAGATCAGGCGCCGACAGCATGATGTCGGTCCTTGCCAGTGCCGCCACACCAGCGACGGTGCCTGCATCAGACCTGTCGCTAGGCAGGGCTGCGACCCAGTGGCCGTGCCAACCCAGGTCACGGGCCTGCGTCTGGGCACTTGGCAACCTGTGCTCAGGAAGGTGATGCTCCTGGACCAAGACCACCCTGGCAGACTTGGTAGGCAAGAACTCCCACAAGCAGCCGTGGGAAGAGACATTGACCGACACCACTTCGCCCTTCAGCTTCAAAAGGTGGTCTGGCGACGCGTGAGGTCCTGACAGCGTTTCGAATCCCAGACGCGGCATCGAGGCTGTGCCAGTCGAGGGGCTCCCCGTTGTCAGTGCCACCCATGGTGCATTGCACGAGGGACCGGAGCAAGGGGCCGCCGAAATCGTCGCAGGCGCCGAGGCTGGAGTCCATGAGGCCTCACCCGCGCCAG